ATAACTTCCATTTCAAAAATGAATTTTGATATTGTGATGGAAATATTTCGCACTTTCAAACTGGCAATTTCTTTGATTTAAAAGCGAATTTGATAGAAGATTTTGCAGAATTGAGATAAATTTTAATGTTTTTGTTTTTATTCCTCTTTTTCACTCTTCTTCTTTCCAACACCTATTTCTGTTTATTACGGATAATTAAAGACGACATATAGTTCGTCGGACGCTCAGCTTCTATAGTTCGTCGGACGCTCAGCTTCTTAACACTGCTTATTGTAATTAAATTCAGTCAAACGAATTAATCAATTTACAGTAAACAAACCGATCTCAGTTACCGCTTTTTGACCGCTGTAGTCAAAATTACTGACAGCTGTCGTTTCTTTTGCTATTCTAAAATTAATAGGAATGGAAATTAGCGAAATTGTAATTGAATTTGAGAAAGCATTACAAAAAAATGAAGTGCCATAGAAATGTTAAAATAATGACTAATTTTTTTTTTTGAGTAAAAGAATGGAATTAAACAGCTTTTTATAACAGCAAATGAAAAAAAAGAAATACGACCTTATTGTTTATTTTTGAATTCTAATTTTTGTTTATTAGATAAAGTTAATAAAAATTGCAAATCAAACAACTAATTTATTAAAAAATTGTGCAGTAGCATCTTAAAAACATCACTGCTAGAGCCTTTTTGTGGAAAGTGTTGACCAATGTAGAATTTTTCATTCTTTGTGTTCGAGACAAATGTAGAATTTCTCATTCTTTGAAAATAATGTTAACCTTTTTAACGGCCGTAAAATTGGCCAGTGCTGTGTTCTGGATAAATTTTGCCTGTGGCGCAAAGCGATCATTATCCTAAAATATTTTTCTGCATGAATAAAATAATTTTTAGTTTACTGAGCAAATTCTCTCAGATGAAAGAATTTAGTGAAAAAAATTCTCTAAATTATGCTGAAATATTCGGGAAAAGTTTGTTTGGCTTATAGTAGGAAATCCAATAAGTGGGACAAGTGTCACTGGCAAAAAAAAACAACTTTTGGAGGAAAACAATAAAAGCAGCAAATGTACTAACCTAATGTAAACGAATAGAATAATAAAACATGGTATGACAAAGCTAATAATTGATGAGGATATTGAAAATATTGGATTATAAAAGCGACATTCGTATGGATCCGCATCTGATGGTCGAATATTCACACCTACAAATATTAACTAAATCATATGGAAATTTTTAGTTGAATTTTTTCAAGCTAATTTTCAAATGAAATTAATTAGCTTCAATGCTATCAAAATATTTCCAATCAAATTCTTTGAACAACAAAAACAATTATAATTTAAATCAAGCTCGAGGAGGAAGTAAAATGATGTCAATTGAAATAATAACAATATTCTTACCAAGTACCATAGGACTAGCAAGCGCAAGAGAAATCACCCAAATGACAGCCATAATGAAAATAACCCGTCTTGTGTCATGGGATTTATGTGAATAACTTATGGGATGAGTAACTGCTCGATACCTATAATTGAAAAATATAAACTTTTTTAGTTCGTAAATTTAACTGAAGATTGCATTGTGGATCCTCATTGATGCTATTATTTTTATCATCATTATTAGAGCTATAAATATAACATTAAATAGTCAGACACTTCGCTTTTTTTAAAAGAAATATGAAATCAAGAATTGAATGAAAGATTAAGCAAATTTGTTTATTATAATAATGATATTTTAATTGAGAATGGTTGAATTTTTAATCGATTAAGGAATTTGTACATTTCTGTCAAATAAACAGCTGTTTCTTGAAATAATGAAAAAATTTAACTGACATCAAAATGTTTCGAATGGCGATTTACGTAATAAGATTCGAAAATGAAATTTTTAATCTGTTCAGCTTATTCAGTAAGACGGAAAATTATCTATTTAGTTTGCTTGGCAAGACGGAAACTTATTAAAATTTATATTAAAGAATGCAGTAATTTTTTTTAATTTAATATTAAAAAATCCTTTTAAAATTTCATATTAAAAATGCAGTAACCTGTCAAAACTAATGACTGTAAGTATAAGAATGGATGCAGTACTACAGGCTACATCACTTGCTGAATATATATCACACATCATCGACCCAAGAAACCAATAACCACCTTGCACCTGAAATGAACTTATCTTCTATGATAATAAAATATATTATCGATGTTATGAATAGGAAATCAAAATTGTACGAAAAGCAAAGTATTCATGATTAAGCGATAACTTTTTATCAAGTTTTAAAATATCAATCAAGCGATTAGATGTCATTAAAGTACAAATGGTCAATTCAATTGTTTCGTTTATCTCTTTAGCATTACTAATTCAAATATTCAATATCAGATTCAAACAATTTTAGACGATGAACATTTTAATCTTAGCTAGTTATTAAATTAAATGGTTAAAAAACTTTTTGAAATTTCAAATTTTGATTTGATTAAATTGAAAATTTTCAAATTTTAATTTAAAATTTCAAAAAGTTATTTGATCAGTTATAGGAAAAAAACTGGCTTATAAAAAATTATTTTATACTTTTTGGATTTTATTGCAAAAAAGAATGTGATTGAAGGATTTAATGACTGGTTTTTCCATTTAAAGCAATTAATAGAATACTGCTTTTTTTTGCCTAATCATATAAGCATTTCATTGGATGTAATATTAATTGAATTTCTTCTCCTAATTAAATTTCACAGTTACTATAGTTTTGTTTTCTTATCATTCATTCAATTCTCTATAGATAATAAAATAAAAGAAAATTTCATCAATTTTCACTAAATCATACTTAAATAATAATTTCAAAATAACAGAGCATAAAATTAATCCTCAACAAGAAATAAATAATGGCATACGATATATTATAAGAAAGCATAGAAGCTATGAGATCAAAGTTAGGCTTGTTAATTTTGGAGTGATATTCGATGATTAATTTACTGTACTTTTTCATGCAGTAATGCATCATTCCTTTTGTATTATCTGAATTACTATTAACATTTACTAACAAGGAATACATTTATCATTTTAAAAAAATGGAAATTTTGAGATTTGTGATTAGAATGGTAATTAGAACGATTTTTTTGTGAGATTTGATTATCATTTTCATTATCATTATCGTAAATAATTCAACTCTAAACTGCATTTTGTAATCTGAAAATTAGAATAAAGTTGGATTGAAAACTTACATGAACATAAACAGCATAGGGCATAACGAAAAGTCCAACTAGCAGATCAGCAACAGCTAAACCAAAGATCAGAAAATTAATAGCGGAATGAAGAGTTCTAAAGCGTAGTACAGCAACAATTACCATTGAATTACCCAGAACAGTAATGGTTGGAATAATTAAAAAGAATAATCCGGAAATGTTAAGTTCATGATCCGGAATAGTTGTCAATTTTGGTAAGTATTGGAAAGTGTTGCTGCTTATATTCATGGAATTATCAGTATCATTCTTGATCGATATCACATCCATCTGTTTCATATCAATTTCGAGAAAAGTTTTATCAAAATTTTTCGTAGCGAGAAACAAAGTGCTGTCCTAAGTTAACCTTTCTCATTGCATTTCTGCATCTGAAAGGAAAGCTATCGATGTATTATTAATGAAAGTTATTTAAGCAGATAAACATTTTCATGCGATTATCCGACATATGCAAAAATGACGAATGAATGCTAATGTTAACCTTTAACTGGCATTTGCATACACACGGATCGGATTACCATCAAGAGACTCTTCTTCATGATGAATTATAGTGCTGGTGGAAATTTGTCGCGTGTAATTAATATTTATAACATGGGAGGAACGCTAATTTTAAGCGACCCTAATTGGCTGATAATAGGAAAAAAAAATTTCAATTACTTTCAATTACTCTGCTTATACTTTCTATATAATTCATTTTCCTAAGATCGATTAAATCTGAAATTTCAATATTTTAAAGCATTTCCTTTCCAAAAAAATTGGTAATAATATGATTTTAATAAGTTATTTGATATAAATTATCAGACGAATAATCATCAAAAATTGAGAGAGAAAAAAAGAAAACAATTTGGTAATGATATTATAGCAATCCAGTGGTAATGCTTACTGCCACAAGCGATTGTATAATAAGAAAAAAAAAAGATTGTTTGTGGATTTAATGGATTGGCCAGCTGTTAGCAAAAAAAATAGTAAAAGTATAAAAATAATCATAGTGTATAATCAACTGAAAGAAGGAAAGAAAAAAAAACAAGCCTGATGGAAATTGAAACCTTAAACGATTACGGTGAAGAAAAGCAAGTGACATGAAGGACAAATGGAATTGTACATAAATAAAAAAAACGACGGAAATATTCACATATAGCTGACAAACTTAGTAAATTGGCATTGTAATAGAGATTTTCAATTGGATAAATAAATGGATGAAATTGGCAGTTCGCTGAATTGAGTAGAATGGAATTCTTGAATTATCATTACATAAAAGTTATGAAACATTACCACTTTTCTCTGATAAATTTGGAATGCAACTAAATCCGTTTTCATCCAACTATTCGGTTAACTCTAACCGGTCAATTTTTTTTAGATAAGAAAGAGGAAAAAACAATTGTCGAGATATTTCTTGCTTCTTTCACATTATTACTGGTTATCTGAAATAAATAATGAAAAGATGTTATTCGTTGGAAAAAAAAGAACCGGAAGAAATAATCGGAGGAAAAAAATAGGTTGTAAATAATGGATGGATGAAATAGTAAGAAGAACAAAAAAGCGAGAAAGAATGAATGGTGCTTTTTCATCAGCGCTTTACGATGCGGTGGCGGTGCTGTCATGCTATATTCTGCAATTAGTATTATTTATATCACAAATAATAAATATATCAGATACCGCTGTCATTGTAAAAATGGATAATTAAGAAGAAGACGAACAAAGCTTTTACAATGCTCAATGAAATTTTTTCCACATTAATTTAGGACCAGGAAAAGAAATTTGCATTTGTAAAGATGGCAAAATATGAAAGTTTTGAAAAAAAAAACAAACTTTATTTGAACCTTCAAAAATCTAACAATTGCATTACCGCTTTATTGATTATAAACTTAACTTCGTACGAAAATTTATTGACAAAATAAAAATGAAATCACTTACTTGATGGCTAATTATTCTGATAGTGAATATCTGAACCATTGTTTTGTAATGAAAAAATTATAATTTTGAGAGATGAACGTGGTGTAGCAACGAGATAATTTAATTTTTTTTCAATAAACTTGTTTTTGAAAAAAATTTACCGGAGGATAATTAAAAAAACAGCTATTTATAGTTCTCGAACCAATCACACAAGACCAGACTTTCATTATAGTCCATTCGTACAGCATTATCAAAAATTAACAATCATTAACTATTAAAGATTCTAATTTTTAATAAATATTAAATACACTTTAGATTCTAATTTTCAATAAAACAACAGAAAAATCCTTAGAAAGCATGAAATGAATTTTAGGAAATGAGAAATTAAATAAAAATTGTTGGTTTTTAATTTTGAAAACGATCACAAAAAATAACCATCAATCTAAACAATCACAAATAAACCATTACAATTTTGGAACAGAAAAAAAAATCAAAATTGAGCACAACTATTTGCAGATTTAAAACGAAATAAAAGAGAAAAGCAAAAAAATCTTTGAGACACCGGTATTCTGTTTTGCTAAGATTTTTCACATTGACTTGGGTGGTGTTTATTTCAATTCAATTTCTTGTAATTTAATTAAATTTAAAGAGATATTTTACTTTTGCTGATGAATGCATTCGATATGTCAAATAATATGCAAAATTATCAAAAAAGAATAACAATAAAAATTTTTTCACAATTTCACAGATTGTTCCTTTGATGTGACAATCATTGGAAAAATTGAAATCTCCTATAGACCATTTAATATTAATAAAGATTACAAACTTATCTGAAAGGGAACTATAAAAATAAAAATGCTAAACGATTAGATAGCAAAGAAAAAATCTGTTTGCAATCTTTTTGCTTTCAAAAAAAATTTCTTTTGACAATTTAACTTCTTATTTTTTCTTTTCATCGTCTTCATTATTCTTAAGTTTATCTACTTACTTATAGTAGTTAGGAATAATGATTTGTTAAGTAATCATTTATTTTATGTTTAATGATATCTTTAATTAGCATAAACATTAATGACTTCTCTATATTTGTAATTTGTGGAATACAGAACATTCAAATTGGAAATTCGATGTAAAAAATCTATTTAAGCTTTTATTTTGATGCTAACGTTTAACTTATAAAAATGAATGAATAGATTGGCTATTTTGAACAATGCAACAACAAAAGAAAATTATTAACCTGCATATTGTAAAATGATAATAGTTATCAATTTATTTTGAAAAAATTTCATGTGATCGCATATTCAGAAATGTGCGGTGGAAAACTCGACTACTTCGTTCAATTTTAAATTATAAAATTTAAATTGTAATTTTATTTTTTTTTCTTTTTTTTAAATTTTTAAATTCGTTAAATTTTTTAAATTCCTATTTTTAAATTATAAATTTGGCATTTTTGAATAAGAATATTTCATGACAGCGACACATTTCAATTACCCGTATTGCAACAATTGTAGTTCTTGCAAAAAATAATCAAATCTTCATCCTTAATGTTAGAAAAGCAATTCTCACAAATATAAAATGTCATAATGAAAGCATAAAATTAGCTTTACTACCAAAAAAAGAACTGCTTTTAGCAATTTTCCAAAGCAAATTTTAGTTTCAGGTTTTTAATGTTTTGAAAAAAAAGAGAAAGAAATTAAATTAAATGTTCCTTAAGAAATATAATAACTACATTAGACGTTAAAATTTAGCAAATCAATAGACGCTTTCATAGTAATAAATAATTATATTAATTTTTTTTCTTCGTCGCTTTTTCTTAAATTCAACAAAATCATGATCCATTGTAAAAATTAATATTCATTCAAAGCTATTATTTTTTGTTTTTTGGGTAAAAATTTTTTGTTTCAAGGTAAATAATGCATTAAAAATGTCATTTTAATTCGAGAAATTAGCATAATAGTTATGCCTATTATTCATTCCAAGTCTTTCACAAAATCCCAATAAATTTGCTTAACTCGGATATTTTCAATTATGCCTCAACGTATAGATTTTGCATGTGACTCTCAATGGTGGCACGGGAATTCACGTAAAGTAGGTGAAAACACAAGATAAGAAGTCATTAAGTTCATACCATCAAAAGTCTCAACTTTTAGGTTAGATATGCTTAAGACTAACTCGTCAAAAGATTGTCTCATTAAAGATGACTTAGCAATAACTTTTTGTGACATAAAAATTGAATTTCTTCAACGTAATTTTTATACGCAAGTTAATCGTCTTGAGTTTCTCAATTTTTAGCTTTTCTCTCAGACTTCCCAATGAATAATAGCGCATACTAATTAATCAAAAAAAATTATACGGAAATTTCTAGTGGTAGAAAGAAGCCTAAGTTCAAATTTTGGTCAACTAACAGAAAAATGATTCCAATTGAAAAATGCTTCAACATTTTTATCAATTTTTTCAAAATCCTAATTTGTTTTACAGGAATTGTTGAAAATCGAAATCATATTTTGCAAAAATTCAGTTGCAAATAACTTCAAAAATGTTTATGTATGTGGAGATACAAAATCGAATTATAAATAGTAATTTTTTTGGAATAACTGATTAAAAGAAATTTCATCCAATTTTGATGTCAATTTCAGATTTTCAAAAAATTATAATAATTTTTCTGCTTGAGATGAAAGATGTGACAATTTAAGCTCAATAAAAATATAAATATTTTCATTAAATTTTCTGCAGAAAAAACCAGCAAATTTTATAATTTTATTTTTTTAATATTTTGAAAAGATAAAAGTAATGATTCACATGTATATATACATGCTTTTCCTTTTGCAAATAAAGATTAATTAGCCTCTTGGTTTCTGAAATATTAATACATGCTGCAATTATGCATTATAATGACATAACTAAATATAAGATTTAAATACCACAAAATATTTTTTCAAAATCTTAATTTATTTTAAATGAATTGCAAAGCAAGCTATCCAAAATCAAATAACCAAATGTAGTACTCTTTCTAGCATTATCATTGCTTTGTTCAGATTTTACTTCCGTGTCAAATAATTCTTTAAATCGTTCAATTTTCCAATCAAAAAGTGATAATACCAAATAATGAAAAATTTTTCTTATGTTTTGATGGAATATTCCAAAACTGACAAGGCGAAAAGATCATATTAACAATAGTTTCATGGTTGATTTTTCGATTTTGTCACAAGTTTATTTCAATCGCACTGTCTTACCTTTTTAACTGCAGCACTTTTTTTCTTTTTTTCTCTAAACAAGAAATGCATTGATGTCAGTTAGCTTTTGGAGTAGATATTGATGAATATTAATAAGTAGAAGTTGTTTATAAATTTGTAAATTTACAAAGTAAGTTATATGTATGAGAT